GGCCGCGGCCGCCGCGGCCGCAGCCGTGACGCCCACGTGCGGGTAGTAGTGCAGTGGCACGTGCGAGTGGAAGGGGTAGGGCAGGCTTCCGGTGGCGGCCGCGTGCGTCATCATGTAGGTGTAGAAGCTGGGGTCGGCCGGGTGCGGCCACGACATGGCCAGGCGCTGCCGCTTGTCCTTCATGCGCCGGTTCTGGAACCACACCTGCGGGGAGAGCCGCGCGGCGGCCCGAGTTAGGGCGAGCCCGGGACCCCAGCCCCGCCCAGGGCCTCCCCGCCCCTCGGGGCCTGGGGCTCGCCCGGCCTACTCCCTGCGACCAGGCCCGGCCCCCAGGCCCCGCGGCTCGTTCAGCTGGGGCCCTGTGGGCGGTGTGGGCCGCCGTGGGCCCCCGTGGGCACACCCTCCCCAGCGAAAGGAGCCTGCTCCCCTGTGTCCGACTACTGCGGCTCGCCGGTTTCTGCCACCGTCCTTTTGGCTGCGTTTTCTCGTCCCAGCCCACCCGTTGTTCTTCATGCCCTTCCCCAGTGCCGGCTCTCGCTGAGCGCCCGTCTCTCAATCCCAGGATTTGCTCGGGGATTCTAGCCCGCCTTTGAAGAAAAGGCTGTAGCGGCAGCTTTTCTAAAAGGTCGCTGCGCAAAGTCTTGATTTCTGAGCTGCACGAACCTATCCTGAAGGGCACGGGTCTGATTTTGGAAGGGTGATTTCGTTTGCTTCAAATCAGTGGCCGGAACGTTATCCCTTAAACTGACTGGGAAGGGGACTTTTCCACCCCTCCCAACACAGTATCTAATGAAGACATCATCCGTCACAACTCTAAATTAAAGCTCTACCAAACCAAAGAAAGCTTCCACACCCCTTCCCTATTCTGTGGAGTTTTGGCATTTTCTTTTTCCAGAGCGTCGATTCCTCGGTGAAGTGCTCATCAAGTCGCCCAACTTTCTGGCTATCGCTCCCCAATGTGTAATAAAAATTAATTATCTAAAGATACATAAATAAGGACAACTTCGTTACTTCCGCCATCCCAGTAGTTGCTGTTTTTCCCCGTTGCCCAGGAGGAAAATGTCTAGGAAACAACTTTTTCGACCCAATCGATTTTTTAAATGCAATGTGGGGTTTTTTTCCCCCGTGTTGGAACGATTTATGTGGAAAATAAATCTCCAAGATCAAGAGCAGATGAAAAGTTTCGCTCTGTTTTGTGCCAAAGAAACAAAGAAAAAACAAAGAAAAAAAAGGAAAAAATTGGGGCCATAGATTTGGGCGATGAGGCACCTACCTGGGCAAGGGCTGGTTAGAACCGAGCAGAGGCGAGCGTTTGAGACATTGGGTCCCCCATTCTCAGGCCTTCCCAGATCAGCCAGGTCGGCCAACCCTTCGAATTTGGAAGCCGAAGTACAAACAAGCCAAATCCTTTGGTGACGTTCCCCCGCGAGTTACCAAACCCTAAGCTAAATCTAGACACCACAAAGGAGAAATAAGCCCCAGACACCCCCAGGGAGACTAAAACAGGAGCGCGCTGGAATCGATACCTTGATGGTGGTTTCGGGCAAGTTGAGGGCAGCAGCCAGCTCGCACCGGCGGGGCCGCGACACATAGTTCTCCCGGTAGAACTCCTTCTCCAGGCGCGCGATCTGCTCGCGGGTGAATGCTGTGCGGTAGCGCCGCACCTGATCCGCCCCAGAGCCTGAGCCGCCCAGCGCCGCGCCCCCGCCGCCACCGCCGCCGCCGCCACCGCCTCCATGCAGGCTGCCAAGGCCCGAGCCTGACGCCGACGTCGTGGTGCCCGCGGTGGAGCTGCTCTCGGCGTACCCTGGCAAATAAACGGCCGACAGCGCATGAGTCGCTGTAGGGCCGAGAGCCCCGCGCTGGCGTTGAGCGCGGATGGGGGAAACCGCGACATGCAGAAGGCAAAGCGCTGTCTGAATTGATGGGGTCTGTCATGCTTACAAATTGCTGCCGTTAATGGAATCAATAAAGTTTGGGGAGCCCTTCATAACTAAATAATAGGGACTATGTTGGGGAGGGTTTTTTTTTTTTAATTCATGGGAAATTTTCAAATCAGAAGGAAAATTAGCCAAGTGAAAATGATTACATCTAAGCGCAGTTTGGGAAGCTCTGGGCTTGTCATGGTCTGGAAACCATAGGGCCGCTTTCTGTTCGACCTCTAGTCTTTCTTTGACAATCTTTTGGGTTTGTTTAAAAACATTTTAAGATTCGAAAAACAGCAAAACTCAAACTGAAATCATTAGAGGGATGGACTCTACTTTCAACTTCGTCTCCAGCTTACCCAAGTGGGTCTCCCAGAGGTCCCAGGCGAGCCTGCTTCCGACTTACTAGGGAAAATGCCCTCTCCCCTCGACCTGGGGGACTTAGAGGCGGCAGAATTCAGAGCAACTGCCCAGGGCACCCTTCTGCTAGCGCTACTCAGTGGCCGGCTCGGGGTAGGTCGTCTCACGCCGGCTTTTAGACCCGCACGCAGAAACATTTTCTCCGGCACGAGAGTGAGAGCTGGAGAACTGAGGAGCCTGGAGCCCCAGGCCTGCGTCTCGCTGGGAGACTCAAGGAGCAAAGCCCGAGGGCACAAACCCCTGCTTGCCACCCGACTCCGCCCGCGGCAGCTTTTTTTGTGGAGGGTCAGAAAGGGTCAAACACCAGGAAGGGCCGGTTGGGGCAACGAAGGAACTGGGTGGATGGGACTGGAGATCGCGGCGCTGGCGGCGCAGTTACCTTTGCCATTGTTTTCCTTGAGCGGCGCGGAGCCAAGGCCGCCCGGAGAACGCAGCGCCGAGCAGCCCACTTCCACGTCGCTCATGTCCGCCTCAGCGGCCGCCTCTGAATAATGACCCGGCTTTTTGCGGCCCTCGGTGGCAGAGGCGATTTCGGAGGAGACGGTGCTTTCGCTGCCCGGATGCTGCAGGTTGAACAAAGTGTCTATTTCGAATTTGCCCTTGGCAGGGAGGTCTCCCAGAGCGCCGTGCAGGGGGGCGGACGGCAGGCGCGGGCTGAGGCGAGCCGGGTGCTGCGAATTTTCCAGGGCTTCCAGCACGGCATTGCCAGCTGAGTCGGACAAATTGGAGAACCTCTTGCCGGCCGTTGGACTGTGCAGCCCTCTTTCCATCAGAATCATCTCTTTTCTTATTCTTTCCATCATCTCAGCTTTCTAAAAAATGTCACAGTGGCCCGGCTGTCCCGTCCTAATGATGGGCTGCGCCTAGGGCTAATTCTCATTCAGCCCCAGCGAGTGCCTCTAAATATTATTATCTCTTTTGGAGGGAGGCGGAAAGATTGTGGGATGCCAGAGCGAGGGAATGACTGGTCAAAATGACCCATACATCCTTCCGAGCCCGAGATGTCATTCATCAAAAAGTAGCGCTAGCTCGTCATTAAGGTACGAATGACGCCTTTCGAATAATCATTTATTGTAACAGGTTTATAAGCAAATAAATACACGCTCCTGTCAGTGGGTAATGAAGGCGGCGGCTTCGGAGCAGACAAATAGATCCAGGTAGGAGGCGAAAAGAGACAAGAAGTGAGGAGAAAGGCTCCGGTCCTTTGCCCGCTCAGAGCCGGTTCTGCTCGCCCGGGGGTTTGGCCTCGGGGGTGAAATTGACAGTCTGATTAATAGAGCGCGCCGCGGCACATTTCCCCCTTCATTTAGGGGCATCATTACGCTCTCAGTTTGCTGGGTTGCCCCTTAGGTCTTAATCATGCAGCGCCTTCCTCATTTTTCCTCGGACACAGATACGTGTTAAATAATAGATAATGCTTAGAATTTCCAGAGTAGATCGTCGAGAAGGTCCTTTTTTTTTTTTTTTTTGAACATTTACAAGCGGGAGGGAGGGTGGGAGGGGGTAAAGGGGAGGATGTAGAAGAGTTGCGTAAGGAGAAGACCTTGTGCTCCTGTCTGGATTACTTATCTTTCGAATTTCAGAACCAAATATGTATTTTATTTAACAAATAAGACACCGAGTTCTCCCCCCCCCCCACGTCTTTGCCTCATCCTGACTGCTCTCCTCCCACCATAAGAGAAGAGGAAGAAGAAGAGGAGGAGGAAGAGGAGGAGGAAATGAAAGAGGAGGAGAAGGAGGAGAAAAGAAATCTTCTATAGTTTTGAAAGCACTTTAGTGCTACGTGGCTGGGGTGGTGCGTTGGGCCCGCCTGCAAACGGAAATCATTAGGTCCTTTCTGATTTTTTAACACTGCTTGCAGAGTGAGTTCTAAACTTGAAGTCCCAGGTTTTTTACTTTTATAACCCTGCTGATAGATACGCTTGTCACCTATGCATTTTCCCCGGGGGAGATGAACTCGGCTGGACGATTTCATAGCAGAATTCGACAGCTAACTTTAAATACAGTGGCAATTTATTGCACCATCTGGGTCTCCCCAAATCTACTTTTTAGGTTGCCAGATCTCCTTCCCCTCCTCAAATCGAATTGTTTATGACAAAGTTGCCAAATTTTAAGGTCAAAGGAGGGAGAGAAGAGATTAGCTTTCTTCCCCTATCATCCATAGTTTCCTCTCTTCCATTTTCTGCTTTTCTTCCTTCCCTCCTTCATCCCCACCGCCCGCCCTCTCCTCATTCCAGCCTCTTACCTGTGGCCCTGGGTGTTTTTCGCGCTGCGTCCGGGTGCGGAGACTGTAAGACCAGCCTTGCTGAGGCTCCTCGAAGCCCGAATTTGGCGGCTGAGCCTCTTGGCGATAACTTTGATGGTCATAATGACGCCGGTGGCAACCATTTTAAAGAAGATCAATCTTCACTCAAGGCAGTTCCATGTCTCCTCCCGCGCTTGCGCCCCACCCTGCCCGAATTCCCAAAGCACTGTGATGGTTACCGGCCAGCAGCCCAACGGGAGACATCGGCGGCCACAGCAGGGACCAGAGAGGACAGGGACAGGACTTGGAGGTCGGCCTGAGAGCTTCTGAAACGACCCAGAGACACTGGCATCTGGGCGCCTTGTCTCTGGGCGCCGGGCGCAGATCTCGCATCCCCCGCCTCAAGGCCAATTCAGACCCCCCAATCAGCCCCCCCCCTCCCAGCCGCCACACCCAGCACTTCGGGATGTGTTAGGGGCAAACCCGGAATCCATTTGCCCATCTTTCTGTTGGCGCTTTCCTTTTAACCTTGGACCCATTGGGGGCGCGTCAGGAATGTAAGGGGAGGCAAGGTGTGAAGTATATTTATATACATTTATACAAGTAGTTAATGCCAAAAGTTTCTCTCTTGTTCCCCTTGGCGCCAACTTATTTCAACAAAGCAAGTTTTGCTTAGAAAATCAATCCCACCTCTTTAAGGTAATAAACGAAATTCTCCCCAAGGTGAGAAATGGAAAGCTGGATAAGCGCGCGGTGGCTGGGGAAGTGAGAGGAGGGATGTGGAGTGGGCGTTAAGAATCTAGAGGAGCACTTAACCCAATGCCACCCTAATCTAGAGGCCACCAGACGTGGAGCCCTTCTCCTGCAGGTTTTCTGGCCACTAACAAGGTCAGGGCTTAGCCTGGAGGATGCCCCCACATCTTCCTTCTGTTACTCAACCTGGGTACTCAGCTACATCACTCCTGGCTGACCGCGCCCAGCGGAGGGGAGTCGCTGCCCTAGGAATTTGGGAAGGGTAGACACCTCTCCCCTCTCCCTCCTCCACCCCTCCCCCCATCCCCGCGACTGTCTGACCGTCTCACTTGCTTTGGGGACAGAATGGGACAGCTCCATTCAGGCCGTAGCCCTTGGAGGCTGGGAGGGTTGCGGGGGTTGGCGGCTAAGCCCTGGGGGAGCTGGGGGTGGGGGGGGGCGCTGAGAGCTGGCGGAGGCGCGACTGAGCGGAAGTCGTGGATGCCTTTATTGCTGTCGTTTGGCGCCCCCGTCTGTTTTCCTCGCAGTCTCAGCCGCTGTGAGATGCTTTCAATCGCAGAAGCCTCTGCTGGGGGCTAGGGTGCAAACTGCGACTCCTTCCTCCTTTAAAAACCGGGTGGGTCTCCCACTTCCGTCCTCTGGACCCAGTGGTGCCACTGGACCCAATGGCTGCTTACAAACTGAACCTCAGTCTGTTGAAAAGGTAAAACACGGTTTCTCAGCGACACCTTCATTCGTTAGTGGTTTTAAAAACTATGTTGCACCTTTTAAATAACACTGCTATTGCATATTCTAGCTCATTTATTATGAAAAGTACTCTTGAGACCATGTAAGAAAACTTCTCACAATAAAAAAAACTATAAATTTTCACTAAACTCCATTTAGCATACAGTGTTTCATGGGAGGCAGTGAACATGCCATTACAATATTTGATATTCCTTTATTTAGGTTCCATGCCTACTAGTAGTAAAATTGACATTAGTCAATACAATATATATATATATATATATATAGCTTCTACTCAGAAATTACAAATGATATCTATCTATCTATCTATGTATCTATCTATAATCTAGTGTAAAGCTGACAGTGACTCTAAAATTTAGAAATAGTTTCTACCATTATCTCTTTTTTAGAGATTAAAAAACGTTCCATGAGAAGGGGTTCAGGACTTGCTCCTGATTTAAATTTATATTTGATAATATTTCTGTTTCATGATATTTAAAAACACTGGGTATTTAAAAGCATTTTATGATCTCCCCATTTTGCACGTACCTTCTTTAAATACAGGCCTACCTCCAAAACCCTAAGACTGTGTAGAGGATATTGAGATGATTAACATGGTTGTGCTGGTATTTACTAGTGAAGTACCCAAACTTTGCACTTCTCCCAGGCTGAGACTAGAAGAGGCTTGTCAAATGTTCCAGGATTTTAGACTCAGTCTCTAGGCCATCAGACCACCGCCTATCCACTACCACAGTACAGGACTCACCCAATAAAAAAAGCCAACCCATGACCCCGTGTCTTGGCAGGAATTTTTAAGATGTATTGGGGTGAGGGTGCAGGAAAGACTTTCTCCAAATGAACTGAAAAGCACTTTTTGCTCAAAGGGAAGAATTACATAAAAGAGGCTTAATTTTCAGTTAGGCCTCTAGACTAAATATTTGTTTCTTGAGAGGTGGCGGGTCCTCCGAGGTGAAGTGGTAAACACTCTTGGCCTGAGACTGAAGGTAATAAAATTTTGTCCAGGCTGCCCTATGGGAGGGGCACAGATGAAGGCGGAGTTGCGGGAGGTCGCGGTGCTGTCGGGGCCTGGCTCCTGCCTTCGGCGCCAAACAAGCAAAATCCCCACCGGCCCTCAAAGGGGCGCAAGCTCGCTGGTGGACTGGAACCGAACATTGGGTGGAGGGACAGAAAAACGGTTAGAGCCTGAGCTGCGAACATTTTCTTTAGGCTAAGCGCGGTCCCTCAGGCTGGAGGTTTCGGTTTGTGAGGGAGGACGAGGATTTGGCTATTTCAGGTTTACTCGGTATTGACTTTTTGCTGCCGACCCTCCGCAGACAAGACTCGCTATTTCTTCCCGGTGTCACTGGCTATCTGTATTTCTTCTTCTCCTTACCCCTACAGTCTCGCGCCCCACTGGGGACTGCCTTGGCGAGTGGAAGGGAAGGTATTTTCTCGGTGGTGTCTGGGGCTTCCCTGACCCGCCACCAGCCCAAGCTCGGGTGTCCTTAGACACCACAGGAAAACTTGCAGGGCCATCTAGCGCCAGGCCTGAGGAACTGCGCGCTGCCCCGCCTCGCTGAGCTGTTCCCTCTCGCCCTTCTCAACCTTGCCTTTGCTGTACCCCTGTCTTTATTTCGTGATTAGGTATTTCCCCAAATCTTTCGGGCAAGAGAGGAGAAAGAGAGAGGCAGAGAGAGAGAGACAGACAGAAAGACAGACAGAGAGACAGACAGAGACAGAGACCGAGACAGACAGAGACAGAGAGAGACAGAGTTATTTTTCATCTCAAAAAGGCCGACAGAATGAGCACTTATTGAACATCATCAGTTAACAGTATTGCTAGGAAAGTGTTTTCCGAGAACAGCCCCATAACTTTACGCGGCAGACAAAACACCACCCAAATGTTGGTGGTCTTTTGCTAAAAATATAACAAGTTACTTGGGTCCTCCAGCTCTGGCCCAAGCTGCGGAGTCCCTCTCGCACTGAGATGAGTGCCTCTCTGGACGCAGAGAAACTCATCGTTTAATTCCCACCAAGAGTTAAGAATTTTTCTCCATCCCAAGCAACAATCAGCTATCCTGCGGGAGGCAAACCAGGTTCCACTACACAGCTTTTTGGGAGTGGGGGGAGGTAGAGAGTTCTTGTTACAAAAAATTTGCATTTCATTAAGCCTAGTTGTGTGTTAAATCCAAAATGAATATATCTCAGACATTGCAGTGCTCAAATTCAGGATTCTATTGTCTGGATTTTGCTAGACACCCTTTT